GAGTGTGTGTGTGTGTGTGTGTGTGGCTGACCAGGACCTTGAGCGGTCTCGTGTGTGTGTGTGCGTGCCTGTGTGTGTTGGGGGCTGACCAGGACCCTGTGCGGTCTTGGAGCTGACTGACGGAGGAGCAGTGGGAGTCCGGCCCACGTGGGCCCAGTGCTCACCCAGCATAAGGAGCACCTTCTGCAGCTCGCCCTGCCTGGCAGAGAAGTACAGCTGCTTCGGGTGGAAGCGGAGCTTCTTAGGCCTGTGGAGAAACACGTGATGATGTCAGCACACGCCCACTGTCCCGGCACCACGGCCACAAGCTGATGTGAGGGGACACACCCCACACCAGCATCTCTGGATCAATGCTGCGGGGGTCTACGTCGAGCATAGTGACTGGTTCCTGTGGTCTGCCTGCTGCCTCAGTCCACCCGGCACATTGTGGGGCCGTGTGATGGGGGCTCCTGCTTGGTTCAACTACAGCGCCAGCTGAGCAGGCGGCCAAAGGAGGTCTGAGCAGCCGCTCTCTCATGCCTAGGTGACTACTGGGGCTACGAGGAAAAGCCCAGGACAGCTAAGAACAAGAGTAGGGGGAGAATGGACTGGGCAGCAGCCTGGGCCTGGCTGGTGCACTACCATCAGTGGATAGTCAGGGAGAGCTACTCAGGCCAAGTTGTTCACGGAGACAGTGGGCACTGTGCACCAAGCAAATATGGCCCTGTCCATGAGGGAGGGGGGACCTGTGCCCTCCACAGGCCCAGAAATGGGCTCCAGTGGACCAATCAGCCTCAGGACCCACTGGCCTAACCCAACAGTAGGCAGCAAACAGCTTTGTAAGCCCTGTCTCCTCCGGTGTCAGCCACATCTAGGGGAGTGTCTGCAGAGAGCCCACCGAGACCTTGGCCCTTCCCAACAACACAGGGGTCCCTTCTGCTTGAGCCACAATGAGTAGGACAGGTACCTGCGATGACGTCCCTCAACAAGATCATGTGTCTGAGCTGGCCTACGGCACGAGCCAGTGATGGACTCGTTGGCAAAGGCACACAGCTACCTCGTGGGGTGGAGCCCTGAACGGTTTGCCCTTCTCAGAGGTCTTGGGAATTCCTGGCACGCGCAGGGCGTGTAAGGTGACAGCTCACAGGAGGCCCCGCTCCACCCGAGAGCCCACGGGCGCAGCTGCCCTCACTGCACCACCTGGGAGCCTGGCAGCCAGCAGGCCTTACTTCTCCGAGTCCAGCGCGATGAGGGCACTCTCCAGAGTCTCCTTGCCCGGCCCCTGGGGAAGGCCAGGCACAGGCTTCACAGGTCCCGACGGTCCCGTCAGGTCAAAGCCTTCAGGCGGCTGAAGTGTTGAACTGTGCGGCTTGTCTCCCTCCAGGAGCTGGGGCCCGGCACTGCTGCAGGGAGAGCAGAGACAGATGCTGGGGTCATGGACACGGCAGCGCCCTGTCCCTGGGCAGCCCGCTCCCTCCGCACATGGGCCACTGAGTGTGGCAGTGGCAGACTCCTTACTTTCTCCTTACCCTGAGTGACAGCCAGGGGCAGGGTTTGATGCTCTGGGCAAGTGGCAGGGCCTCCTGTCCAGATCTGCTTTGTAAGATGACCTTCAGACCGAGTCTCTCCAGCCCGCCGCCCCACCCCAGCATGAGAAACCTCATCAGGATTGGGCCTCGACAGCCAGCAACTCGGAGGCGAAGGGAGGTGGCCGCTTCTGAGTCTCTCCCGAACCATCACAGACTCTCCCGCTTTCTTCGCGTCATGGTGACAGTTACTAAGCTGGGATTCTTCCTGGGGAGCTAGGACCTCTGATGCCACCTCACCGCCCAGTCTCTTGCCTTGTGACGCCTCTGTCCCTCCAGGTCATCCACTCCTTCTGCTAAGAGCATTCTATCTATTTCTATTGGAGTGTTTTGGGAAGAGGACTGTTGGATGCTTCCTGCATGAACACGTCTCCCTCTCTGTGTGTGTTCCCTGGTCTTCAGCTAAGGCCTCCAGCCGAAATGCCAAACATGTGGTGAAGCAGGGCATGAGGGGTGGCAGATGGCCAAGGAGGGGACGGATGCCAAACACATGGGAAGTGGGGGTAGGGGGTGGCAGTGCCACCGTGGCGGAGGCCGTCTCAGACATACACAGATGGCCAAGGAGGGGAGGGCTAAGCTGTTGACAAAAGATGCTGTAACGCCGCGGCTACAAGAGAAGCATGAGACTGGCTCAGAGCAGACCAGTGAGTAACAAGCTAAGGGAGGAGAGGCCAGTGGCCAGGGACAGACCAACCTCCACGTTTCTGAGACATCAGCGCTCAGAGCCTTTGAGCAACTTTTAGGAGAGAGAGTGGGAAGCGGTAGAAACTCAGCGTCACGGGCCCTCGGCTCTGTGGCTGAGATGGCACCATCAGACTCTTAAAGAGCATCACGGACCCTCAGCCCTGTGGCTGAGACAGCACCATGAGAGACCAGAGTCCCGGGCCAAGGTCTGGCCTTACGTTCTCCATGGCCCTCCAGCCCCCACCCCTACCCCTCTGCAGCCCCTTCCAGCCCTGGAGCACCTGCCAGTGGTCGTGTCGGCCCTGCCTTCAGCAGTGGCAGTGGCCTTCTCTGGTCCAGACCCTAGGGTCACGGTGGAGGTTGTGTCAGCCTTGGCGATTGTCACCTCCCTGGCCTTGGTGGCCTCCTCGCCACAGTGGGGGCAATAGCTTGTGTTGTTGACCCGAGAGGCGCAGTCCTTGTGGAAGCGATGTGAGACACTGCTCTCGGGCTGACATTCCATGAAGTTACCCTGAAGGAAGAAGTGCTCATTCAGGGCTGATGCCTGGGCCATGCGTCCAACTGTGTCCAGGGTCCTGCTTACAGGGAAGACACTAAGGCAGTAGAGTGGGCTCATCCCCCATCCTGCAGAGGAAGCCCCTGTGCCCTGGGGGAGGAGCCCCAGCCCCACACTGCCCCTCCCCATCACCTCCATGTTCCCCGTTGGGTGACAGCCCAGCACTCATGTCTGTGAATGGTGACCATCATAGCAGCAGGCCGTGCCATATGCC